GAACTGTACTTGCATCCTGCTCAAGGCCTGGAAAAGGCAGCAGAATTTGATCCGAGTACATGGGCCCCAGCCCACCCACATGGGAGACCGGGATGAAGCCCCTGGCTCCTGACTTCAGCCTGGCTCACTCCCAGCTGTTGCAACCATTTGGGGAGTGAACCAGTGGATGGAAACACTCTCTCTCTCTCTCTCTCTCTCTCTCTCTCTCTCTCTCTCTCTCTCTCTCTCTCTCTCTTTCAAATAAGGGGAGGAAAGGAAGCCCAATAAATTTCAAGCAAGAAAATCAGAAATTGGTCCATGGCTAAACACTAGATCTTAAAAGCAGCTAGATAAAGAATACCACTTACCTTTAAAACCATGAATTTTAGAATGCAAGATGAATTCTTAGTAGCATTGATGAAACCCAGAAGATGGTTGTATGATATGTTCAATATGCTGAGAGAATAACTGTTGGAAAAAAATTAGATCACATTCAAAGAATCAGACCTCAGAATACCTTCAGACTTATCAAAGACCATCCACAGGAAGAGAATGAAGCTATACCTTTGGAATTTTGGAGAAAATAACTTTCCAGCCTAGAATTTTACACTCAAGTTTTAAACTATTAGGTTCCACTAAAATCATTTTCAGGGGCTGCTATCGTAGTGCAGAATCATGAGCTACTGCCTGCAATGCCAGCATCCCATATGAGCGCCAGTTGCAGTTCCAGGTGCTTCACTTCCTGTCTGGTTCCCTGCTAATGTGCTGGGGGAAAGCTCCATCAGATGACCTAAGTGCTTGGGCCCCTACCACTTACATAGCAGACCCAGACTTGGCCTCAGGTCCCTGATGTCAGCTGAGTCCTGCCCTGGCTGTTGTAGGCATTTGGAGAGTGAACTAGTGGATGGAAGATCTTTCTCTGTTTCCATCTATCTCTGTAACTCTCCATTTCAAGTAAATAAATAAATTTCAAAGACAATAGGGCCCGTGTCTAAAGTCCTCACCTTGCATGTGCCAGGATCCCATATGGGTGCCGGTTCATATCCCAGCTGTTCCACTTCCCATCCAGCTCCCTGCTTGTGGCCTGGAAAAGCAGTGGAGGACGGCCCAAAGCCTTGGGCCGTGCACCTGCGTGGGAGACCTGGAGGAGCTCCTGGCTTCAGATCAGTTCAACTCTAGCCATGTTGGCTGTCCGCGGAGCGAACCAGCAGATGGAAGATCTTTCTGTCTCTCCTTCACTCTGTAAATCTGCTTTTTTACAGCAAAAATAAATAAATCTGGGCCTGGCACTGTAGCGTAGTGGTTAAAGTCCTCATCTTGAATGCACCGGGATCCGATATGGGTGCTGGTTCTAATCTCAGCAGCTCCACTTCCCATCCAGCTCCCTGCCTGTGTCCTGGAAAAGCAGTGGAGGACGGCCCAAAGCCTTGGGACCCTGCACCCGCGTGGGAGACCTGGAAGAAGCTCTTGGCTCCTGGCTTTGGATCAGCTCAACTCTGGTCGTGGGAGCCTGCTTGGGGAATGAATCAGCAGACAGAGCATCTTTCTCTCTGTCTCACCTTTTCTTTACAGATCTGACTTTGCAATAATAATAAATAAAATTTTTTAAAAATATATTAAAAGTAGTTTATTCTTGGGAATGGATACTTGGGGACACCACAAGCTCTTCTTTTTGGCTAATAAACCTCAGAGAACTACTTTACTATTTGATCCAAAGTTGGTGAGCTGAGAATGAGCTTCGCATTTTGAAACTCCTGAAAATAATTTAAAAATTATATTTTCTAGCAAGTGAAAATTATATGAGATTCAAATTTTGGTTTGCCTAGAAATATTTTTTTCAGAACACAGCCACACTCACAGATTCACATACTGCCTGTGGTGCTTGCATGCTACAGTGGCAGAGATAAGCAGTGGCAACAGAGACCAAGCAGTCTAAAACATGACCTAGCCCTCTACAGAAAACCTTACTGGCCCTGCTTAAACTGATGCTGGCGTTGTGGCACAGTAGATTAAGGTGTCACCTGCAATACCAGCATCCCATGTTGAAGTGGAAGTTTGAATCCCAGCTGCTCTGTTTCTAGTCCAGCTCCCTGCTAATGCATCTGGGAGACAGCAGAAGGTGGCCCAGGTGCTCGTACCTGTGTCACCCACATGGGGGACCTATATAGAGTCATTAATTTCTGGCTTCAGCCTGACCCAGCCATGGGAAATCTCTGCGTGTGTCTGCTAAGCCTTCAAATAAATAAATAAATAATTTTAATAAATCAAAGTTCTGATGTTTAAAAAAAGAAAGAAAGAAAACACAAGGGCCTGCATGGTAGCAAAACATGCTAAGCCTCAGTCTGCAAGGCCAGCATCCCATGTGGGTACCAATTTGAGTCCCGGCTGCTCTATTTCCCATGCAGCTCCCTGCTGGTGGCATGAGAAAGCAGTGGAGGATTACCCAAGACTTTGGGCCTCTGCATTCATGTGGGAGAACCAGAAGAGGCTCCTGTTTCCTGGCTCTGGACTGACACAATTTTGGCCATTGAGGCATTATGGGGAGTGAATCAGTGGTTCTCTCTCTGTCTATCCTTCTATCTCTGTAATTTTGCCTTTCCAGTACATAAATAAATAACATGTATAAGAACAGCTAAGTTTTTTTTTTAATACTACAAACATGGTTTTGGGAAAACAGACAACTTGAAAAATATTAATTATAGTGGTACTTTACATTACATATAAGTAAAGTCCAGGGCCCGGCGTGGTAGCCAGTGGCTAAGTCCTTGCCTTGCACATGCTGGGATCCCATATGGTGCCTATCGTTTCCCAGAGGTCCCACTTCCCATCCAGCTCCCTGCCTGTGGCCTGGGAAAGCAGTGGAGGACGGCCCAAAGCCTTGGGACCCTGCACCTGTGTGGGAGACCTGGAAGAGGCTCCTGGCTCCTGGCTTCGGATTGGCATAGCATTGGCTGTTGAGCTCACTTGGGGAGTGAATCATTGGAAGGAAGATCTTCCTCTCTGTCTCTCCTCCTCTCTGTATATCTGACTTTCCAATAAAAATAAATAAATCTTCTTAAAAATAATAAAGTCCAGACAGAATAAGGAACAAAAAAATAATAAAAGTGCCAGAAGGACACAACAATGAACGTTCCTGTAATTTTTGACTGGAGAAGAGACAAGCAGGACTCAAACCAACATGTTGGAGAATCAATTTTTTCGACTCTGTTCAGAGATTTAAAAAAAAAAAAAAGTCCAAAGTTAAGGCACCACCTTCCCATATGGGCACTGGTTCGTGTCTTGGCTGCCCCACTTCCCATCCAGCTCCTGTGGCCTGGGAAAGCAGTCAAGGACGGCCCAAAGCCTTGGGACCCTGTGCCCGCGTTGGAGACCAGCTCAGCACCAGCCGTTACGCTCACTTGGGGAGTGAATTATCAGACGGAAGATCTTCCTCTCTGTCTCTCCTCCTCTCTGTATATCTGACTTCCCAATAAAAATAAGTAAGTTTTTTTTTTTTAAATTAATACTTAGGTTCTGATTCAACTGCTTGCTTTTTGTTAAAAGCAAAGTATATCTTTCGCTGTTGGAAAAGCAACAAACAGAAAAAACTGGGATTATCTTTGTTAAAGGCTGAATGTATATAACATGTAAATTAGTACAAATTAGTAAACTGAAATAATAATTGCATTAAAATCCGGGAAAAATATAAAAATAGCAAAGACAGTAAGGGCCAGCTAAGACAGGAGGAAGTACCAATGACAATATATGGACAAAAATGTACAACTGTAAAGGGACAAGGGAATTTGTACATCAGTCATTAAATCTTTTTTTTTTCATCCAACAGAATTCTCGAAATATAAAGAGTTACCAACGCCCAGTTTCGAGGAGTATTTGGGAAATGAGCACGCAGTCCTCCCCCAGTTCAGTCTTTTGGTTTATATGCATGCATCCTTTCACCCAGGAAGGGCATGGGAGCGAGTCTGGCAACCTTCAGGTGGCACTGTGGGGCTCTGATATCTGGGGCAGACTGCACAAGGAACTTGTCCTTGAGGATCGCTCCACCCTCCGATGTATCTGGGTCTAAATTAGTGAACTTCACAATTGCCCCCTTGAGGCATTCTAGAAAGGTCTTTGGTGGCTCATTCTCTCCCTGATGGACAGTGGTGAGCTGGCTATAATTTCGGTACTATGCTTTGATCCGGGCTCCCAATGGGCCGAAGCTGCCTAGAGCTGTGGAGGTAGAGCTTTGGACGGCCATGCTGGTCGGGGGAGGGCAGTGTCAGGAGACGGCTCTGACATGGACACAGTGTTCATGTCAGCAGGTTTGGCTGGAGGAGAGCTATTTCAGGCGGAAGGAGGTCACATCCAGTATTTGTGATCATTCGTTACAGTTTTATTGGTGAAGCTAGCGGCTGTCATTGGGCTAACGCCAGTTTATAAGGGCCTTGTCTTACGAAAAGCTTCTAGAAAGCGAAAGAACCATGCATAGAGGCTGCACTAGGCCACAGAGTGGACAGCAGCCTGCGGCTGAGCAACCCGTTCGTCCTCTGCGGGTGGGTTGGCAGAGAGAAAGGAGGGGCCATCAGGCGCGTTTGAACTTTCAGCGCGTCATTTTTTAGTAGGTGACTAATGCGCGGCCTAAGGTCAACATTGTAGCTAAAGCACAAAGTGATTCGCCTCAACTGCAATTGCCGCGCTGTAGAAACGCACTTTTTTTCACCTCACAGGGAGACTGAGCACCCACCCAGTCACACAGAGCACCTTTTTGGACTTAATAGCACAAGGGAAGATACACAGGAAAAACATGGAATTATTTTGTAGGATGTTAGGCAAGCACCTGCGTTCACTATCCTTTTCAATCGGTGACTGGTGGAATGAGAATGAGGCCGTGGAAGGATCCCCTCGCGGAAGAACTGTTCCCCTCGCGGAAGAACTGTTCCCCTCGCGGAGGGATCCCCTCGCAGAGGCTCATGGGACAACGCCATCCGGCCGCCAGGTGCCATTTCTCGGTGGACGGCGAAGGGGTAGGAGCTGCTGGCGCCATGTCCGACTCTGAGGGCAGCTCTGCAGTGGCCGAGAATGGCAAGCCCAATGAGAAGACCTTACAGGTGCTGCAGGACATGGCCAATCGTCTGCGCATCCATTCAATCAGGGCCATGTGCACCTCAAGCTCTGGGTGAGTCCCCGCATCGCAAGCCGTCTGAACGGCAGGCAGCCTGGGGGGGTGGCGATGAGGCCAGTTTGGGAAGGGGGCCGTTAGGGCTTCTGGAGCCTGGGAATGAACACCAGGGAGGTACAGTTTATGCCAGTCTGAGAGGATGGCACAGCCGGGGCCAGGCCTTTGCCTTCCCTCTACCGACACTGCCCTTCCCCTACTGTTAGAATTCTGCCACCATCTGGGGCGTCACTGCTTGTGACAGCACCATTTTGAACCTTCTCTACGGACAGTGTTCCTGGAGCGGGAGGGATCCAGCGCTGCTAGGAAGAGGACCGAAGGCGAGGGGAAAAAGCCAAGATGGTGGCCGAGCGAGAGTGGGGCGGAAATGGCCGGTTGCGTTTGGTATCGCGAGAGTTGTTGTATCCGCCGTGAGCGGAACGTCACGTTGTCCCGCCCTCCTCCCCAGCCGAGGCGCGTGCTAAGCCCTCCCCAGCGGGCGCCGCAAGCCTGCTGCTGCTCGGCTCTCGCCTTTCAGGGCTGCTCACCCTAACCTCGACTCCGCCATGTTGCTGACAGTCTCATTTTACTTTCTGTGCTCACCTCACTCGGCTTTGCCGAGTTGTGCCTTTTCGCTCTTTGTGAACAACCACCTTTTGATTGAATTGAGTTTCTGTTTGAGTTCTCTATAATCTTCTTTACGGTAGCTTCAGGTTTACTTATTTCCCTAGTTCTTTACCTTGGCTTAATTGAGGATTTGAGGTGTTTCGTTTTTGTTTTGTTTTGTTTTTCTTTTAAGAGATTTCTTTTGCTGGAATGGCAGATAAAACAAACACAAGTAGAGACAGAGAGAAAGAGCTTCCATCTGCTAGTTCAGTCCCCAAGAAGCCACAATGGCCGGAGCTGAGGAGCCAGGAGCTTCTTCCGGGTCTCCCATGTGGGCGCAGGGTCCCAAGGCTTTGGGCCGTCCTCGACTGCTTTCCCAGGCCACAGGCAGGGAGCTGGGTGGGAAGTGGAGCTGCCGGCATAGAACCGGCGCCCACATGGGATCCCGGCACACAAGGATTTTAACACTAATTCATTGTACCCGGCCCTTGAGATTTTTTTTTTTTTTTTTTTGAAAATGAGTTTACCACTATAAACTTCCCTTTGCCACAACTTTTGTCTCTCTGAGTTTTGGTATTATACTTAAAATGTTTTTTGTTTTTGTTTGTTTGCTGATTTGTGTATTTCCTCATTCCTACACATTCCTTGCTTTTTCCAGTTGTTTCTCCCAGTTTTCTCATATTTCAGGGGACTTTTAAAAGTTCAAGGAGGTAGACCAGCACAGTAATGCAACTGGCTAATCCTCTGCCCATGGTACCAGCATACCCTATGGGCACCAATTTGTGTCCTGGCTGCTCCACTTCCCATGCAGCTCCCTATTGTGGCCTGGGAAAGCAGTCGAGGACGGCCCAAAGCCTTGGGACTGTAAACTCACATGGGCAACCCAGAAGAGGCTCCTGACTCCTGACTTCAGATCAGCTCAGTTCAGTTCTGCTCACTGTGGCCATTTGGGGAATGAACCAACAGATAGAAGTTCCCTGTGTAAGTCTCAATTTCAAATAAAACTAAATCTTTAAAAAAAAATTTTAAAGGTAGTGTTTGGAAAAGGCGTCTGGGTTATGAATTTTTAAAAAATAAACTTAGCCTTTTAAAATTGCTTATACATCTTTCTGTCTCTCCCCTATAAAAATGAATCTTAAAAAAGGGGCAGTTCAGTGGCTAGTGTGCAGTGTTTACCTTGTGTGCCAGGATCCATATGAGCATTAGTTCATATCCCACTTGAGCCACACCCCATCCAGCTCCCTGCTGTGACCTGGGAAAGCAGTCGAGAATGGCGGAACCCTACACTCATGTGGGAGACACAGAAGAAACTCCCGGCTCCTGTCTCCTAACTTCAGGTCCGATCAGCTGTTAAGGCCACTTGGGGAGTGAACCAGTAGATAGAAGATCTTTCTGTCTCTCCTTCTCTCTGTAAATCTGACTTTCCAATGCAAAAAAAAAATTTAAAAATTTTTAATTCGTTTTAGGTGATAGCATGGGGTCTTCATGGCGTTTCTGATTAGTGGCTCCTGAAATTGTGTCAGTATGTAGAATTAGCATGAATGACTTGAAAAAAGAGTCCTCAAGGCCTGGGGTGACCTTACTTCAAGTACATGGCACTCTTTTGTCTAGTAACATCTGGCTCTGAGTGAGGAGAAGTTGTGGTTATTGAACTTTAATGCTTTCAAGGCAGTGAACTTTGGAGGCTGTGACCCCTGGCAGGAAGCAGACTGAGAGAGGTGACCTTTGCTTCTAGCCTGGGAAAAGTGACCTGTGCTATGTCTGCCTTGCAGCCACCCCACTGCGTGCAGCAGCGCTGCTGAGATCATGTCTGTGCTTTTCTTCTACACCATGAGGTACAAGCAGGTGGACCCAGAGCATCCAGCCAACGACCGCTTCATCCTCTCCAAGGTATGCTGGCAGAGCAGCTCACGGTCTGCACTCATGCTTCTGAAACCCATTTTTAAAGCCACCAGACTGGGGCAGGTGTTTGGCATTGCAGTTGAGATGTCTGGGGAAGCCCCTATCCCGTGCCATGTCCCAGCTCAGTCGGGTGTCCTTGCCAAGATTCTGGCTCCTGGCTTTGGATCAGAATCCGAGCCTAGCTGCTTAGGGATTTGGAGAAGTGAATCAGCCAATGACAGATTTTCTTTCTTGTTCTTTGCCTCTCAAAAAAAAAGAGCCACCAGATGGCAGCATGCTTGCCATTTTAATTCTTTGCATCATAAAGGCTTAGAAGGTGTTCCAATGAGGAGTGCCTGGAACCATCTGATATGCCTGGCAGGAAGAAATTAAAAACTTACTTCTTCACTGGGTTGTGTCAGCTGATTTTCTGTCCTTTGGTGGTACCCTGCCTCGCCACAATTAGCACTAAAGCTTCCCCTTGGCAGGATCGTGCTACTGCCATTGTCTGTACCAGTTGAGCAGAGGCAGCCAATATCAGTGGAAAGGACTGGCTTGAGACTAAGGAGAATCAAGTGACTTGGGGAGACAGCCCATACTGCCAGCTGGCTTTCTGCCATTTCTCTACAGCCCTCATCTGGTGCTGATCGGGCACTATGGTATTCGAGTCGATATAGCACCGTGTACCCCACGATACAGGGGCCCAGGAAAGAAAAGGAGCGGTGAAGATAAGGACAAGCAGCGGGACACAGTAGCTTTGGTCTGGCTGAAGCAAAACCATTTACACCTGCCTCGTAGAGGACCTGTCCAACTGGAAAGGTCGTTAAAGAGAGTCAGGCTATTGACGTGGCTGAGAAACCTGCAGCTCATAATTCTGATCCTTGTCTTGGTGTCTGGGTACAGTCTCAAATACTTTGGAAAAAATAAGATAATTCAAATATTAGCACATGGAAAACTGAATAAAATTTACGTACGTGAAGAGAAACAAAATGTGGGCCACTGGTAACAGTTGACAAGCTGAGATGAAGGGTATAATGGGAATTCATTGTACTAGTTTTATAATTTGTTTATAAACTTGAATTTTTGTTACAATAAAAAATGGTAGAATTGGGCTATACAAACATAACAGGGCTGTTCAGATTTCTGATTTAAAAAGAAGAATGTGTGGGTTGTCACATAACTGATGCTTTCTGATTATCAGCTTGAGAGGACTAATAAAGAGCCTTCCTGATACACAGTCGCACTCGAAGCATTGTTCAGATGTCATCAGCTTGTGGCAACAGATAAAATCTGAAGAGAGCAAGCATGCCAGTAGTGTAGTGCACCCTGCCATTGACTAGGAACACAGAGAAGGGACACTGTGACCAGAGCAGTCAGGGCCTTCACCATTGTTCCGAGGCACTGGCGACTGTGGGGTAAGGTGTCCCATGTGGAGTGCTGTGTTGGGAGGCCTTTGTCCAGGCTTAAAGTTGTCATTGACCATTGACTGCCTTCTTGAGCCTCTTAGTGGAGTTGTCATGGTGAAAGCTGCTGGGGGAGAAAGGTTTGGGGTATCTGGTCCCTCCCCCTACCTCCGAGGCTTTGATTCACTTTTGTCAATTCTTTTGTTTTCCTCAGCTGAGCAGGCCTGTGAGCTAGCTAAAAGGGCTTCGTGTGAACTTGTTCTTGAAGCACACTTTGCTGTAACCCGTTGTTTGCATCTTTAGCCTAGTACTCCACTCCTCTGGGTTGTGTCTCCCACCACCATTGCATACGAGTTCTTGAGAGCTAGAGGGGAAACCCACACGGGGCACTTGTGCTGCGCCAGGCATCATGCTGACATCCCCCCAGTCTTTTAAGGCGATCCTGTGGGAGGTTGATCTATCCAACGTTCCCATTCAGTGAGACTTGGATGAGGTGATCTTGCCCCCACACGTCACAGCCAGGGAGAAGCAGAATTCGAGTACTGAGCCCAGTCTTGGCCCATGGCATGTAAGCCCTTGGCTCTAAAACCCTGCACAGCATGGAGCAGGTTTTTAAAAGAGCTTATTTAGAAAGAGTGAGGTGGCCACCATAGGGAGGGAGACAGCTCGGGACGTGGTCAGAGACTGTGGCAGTCAGCTACACTAGAGATGCCAGAAAGCCTGCTGAGCACAGTGAGAATCCCAGGGCAGGTCAGAAGAGCCCAAGGGAGAGTAGAGGGTAGGAAGCAAGAAAAGAGAGCCATCTGAGCCTCTAGATTGACAGCGATTCATAACTGCTGAACTATCAAAACCACTTGAGCAAGACCTTCAGAGCATGCCCCACATCAGGGACCTGGGGTGGGTGGGAGACTGGGTGGGGTTTCTTCCTTGTTATCCCCATTTACCTCGGATACGTGAGGGAAACAATATGGAAATAATGGTCTTTCCCACTTTCCTATAGCCCTTGAACCTTTTTGCCCTAGTTAACTATGTAAAGATTGTCAAAAATATAATGATATAAAAAGAAGCATTATTTGTGTATATATTACAATGGCGGACACAGCAGCCTGTGCTGGAAGCAAACAGATGCTTTAATAGAGGTGGGGGTGGAGACAGATGGGAAGGAAATATGTAAAGAGTGTGTTGGATGGGGGCCAAGCATATTGGAACTAAGTAATGTAGGGAGAGGAAGGGGGTACTAGTTCAGAGAGAGTGAATGAGCCAGAAAGACCATGATGCCTGTTTCCGCAGAGGTTTGTAAGAGGTGAGTGTCTATGCCCACAGTCAGGCAGAAGGAACTGCAGGAATGTGCCCCTTGTTTTCAAGGGGTAGCATGGAAGCCAGGGAAACCCAAAAGCGCTGGGAGGTGGGTAGAAGATATGCTTGGGGGAAGCACGAAGTGGGAAGCCTTCAAACAGTTCTGATGTGATGAGCTGCCTGCAGTTTGAACAGCCTCCCCTGGTGTCTACACTGAAAATGGCTATGGGGAGAGGCAGGGAGGCCAGGAAGGAGGCTGCTACAGTGACACAGGCAAAGCGGGCTTGTGACCAGGCCAAGAAGGTGGCAGCAGAAGCTTTTGAGTCAGTGTACTGTCTCCGGAAGCCTAGGAGTGGGCTTGTGGGACAGCGCTTTGGTATGATATGCTTCCCGCTGTGTGACAGTGGTAACCTTGGGCAGACAAGCAGGATGGTAGTGAAGGGAGGAGGTAAGTGGAAGTGGACAATGATTCCTTCTGGTGGCACTGCTTCTGGGTGCCCACTTCTCAGATCTCAGTTGGCCTGAGTTTGACAACCAGAGAATTCAGGAGTCTTCACTGTCAGTGGCTTCTACTCAAGAACCCGCATTCGGCAAAAGGTTGCACATGCGGGTTGTTACAGCGCTACGATAGAAGCCCTAGTGAAATGGCAAAGATCAAGCTTAACACATTCTGCCTCGCACATAGACTCCCTCCTCTGGATTCCCAAAGTTCCACTTGCCTTTGCCACATTGTGGATCTCGTGTACTCCTAGGTCACCCCTGGCTTGCTGTGTAGTCCACTTGTAACACGGGTCTCAGGCTTGGGATGCATATGGGAATGGTGAATGGCAGTTCATGGAGCAGGGTGGCAGGGGTATTCCCTGGACTGCAGGAGCAGTGTGTGTGCCCTGCCAAACGTAGATTTGAGGCTTTTGTCCTGCAGCTGTTCCCAAGCTCACGAGGCCCTCTCTCTCCTCTCAGAGACTGTCATTTGTTGATGTGGCCACAGGCTGGTTTGGCCAAGGACTGGGGGCCGCCTGCGGGATGGCATATAATGGCAAGTACTTCGACAAGGCAAGGTAAGGCACCTACCCAGAGACCTCTGAACTGCCCTGCCTCCACCACAGTGGCTATGTAGGTTATGAGTTTGGTGAGACAGTTGTGTTTGGAGACACTGGGGTTAGCAAGTGTTCCAGTAGTGAAGAAAGCATGTTTGTGCAGGCTGTTGGGCTCTCTGGGTGCCTCTGAAGCATGCAAACCGGGTTGTCGGAAACTGGTCTGTCTCAAGGGCAGTGCCTTCCCAGTTCTGTCTTATGGGGATGCTGCTTGCGGATGGATTCAAGCGAGCTGCTTTCTGTCCAATTGCCCTCTTGCCTGTACACAAGAAGAGAGGGCAGAGGACCTGAAACTAGCTGGCAGCTAGTGTAGCAAAGGCCCTAAGCTGACTCCTGAGGCCTGAGTGCTTAATACGGCATCGCTGCAGCAGCTGCATGTGGACCCTGCGATGAGGCTGTGCCCCCAGGCCCCTGCCAGCCAGGAGCAGCAGCTTCTCTGCTCATCTGTCTCTTCCCAAATGCGTTGGCTTCAGTGGCTCACGTGAGTCCCCCAGCAGGCTCTGATCTATTGTTGGCTTACCCCAGCTACCGTGTGTTCTGCCTCTTGGGAGATGGTGAACCTTCTGAAGGCTCTGTCTGGGAAGCAATGGCCTTCGCTTCCCACTACAGTCTGGACAACCTCGTGGCAATCTTTGATGTGAACCGTCTAGGACATGGCGGCATCTTGCCTATGGAGCACTGCATGGAGATCTACCAGAAACGTTGTGAGGCTTTCGGGTAATCACATCCATTGTTACTTTACCTGCTTTCTCTGCCATCCCTCTTGGTGTCATGGAACCTAAATGCCCTTCCATTGACAGGTGGAATACCTACGTTGTGGATGGCCGGGATGTGGAGGCACTGTGCCAGGTGTTCTGGAAGGCAGCTCAAGTGAAAGGCAAGCCCACTGCTGTGGTTGCCAAGACATTCAGGGGCCGAGGCATGCCAAGTAAGTATTTCTTTCCTGTTGCTTATTTAAAACATCTGTCTCTGTCCCTGCAGCCGAGGAGGCAGAAGAGTGTAGACAGGCAGGCAGGCCACTAAGTTAAAAGTCAACAGTGACAATGCTTATAGTGGATGCTATAAAGGTTCTTTCTCCCTCTTGCTCTCACTAGACTTTGTATCTGGTTACCAAATAAGCAGTGAGAGAGGGAATAAGCTTACCAAGTCGAGGGGCTTTCGGAAAGTGGTCTGCACAGTGAGGAAGTGCTGTGTGCAGCAGCAGCTGTAGGGTTAGAAGCATGTTCACATATATGTGTCCAAGTAGGACAGAGAATATGGGAAAGAATAAAGTGTCACCTGTGAGAAAGGCAGCTGTGGATCTGGAAGAGTAACTCCTTGCACATCCATCCAAAGTGTTCATCTCACATGCAAATGTTTGTATTTTAAAATATAGACATTTTAGGAACAGACGTTTGGCGTAGCAGGTTAGCTGCTGCTTTGGGGGCACCTTCAACTCAAGATTGGTTATTTGATTGCTTTCAAATCCCAGCCAATCACAGCTCCTGCCATTGGCCTGGTCCAACCTTAGCTATTGCAAGCATTTGGGCAGTGAGCCAGCATGTGGCAGATGGATCTCTCTTTTCCTCTCCTCCTGCCTTTCAAATAAATAATCATTTGGAAGGGAGGCTATATAAACATTTTAGGATGAAATTGTTCTGTATCTCTTCCCAAAACACAGCTTTACACTGGTATATCCCTGGTGTGCTAGCAGACTCCTTTCCCTCTATTACCTGACCCCGTACTTACCTGTGTAAAGATTCTCCTACCAATGACTGTTGGCAAGCACACACCATATCACTGAGTTGTAATGGCTTCCCACTGCTAGCACACATCTTCCACAGTATTGTCCACTAGGGTTCCCTCACACAGACCCTCTGAGGACTTTCCAAAGTGTTTTGCATAAACTCCACTCCTCGTCTGCCCACAAGTCCCACCTTCCATAGGCTGCTCTACATCTCTCCAGTTTTGTCTCTCCCACTTTTTAACTCCATTCACCAGTATGCCAGGCCAGTGGCCCCGTCAAAAGCTGGAGGACTTTAATGTGTATTCTGTATACAGTGCCATTCTGGTTCCCTTTGCCTCAATGTCAGGATGTGTTTAGACGACCTACAAGACTCTCTAAATCTTTATGGGAGAAATGGCTGTTGTTTGCTTTGTCGCAGATGTCGAAGATGCGGAAAGTTGGTATGGAAAGCCAGTGCCAAAAGAGAGAGCAGATGCGATAATCAAGTTAATTGAGAGCCAGATACAGACCAACACGAATCTAGAGCCGAAACCCCCCATTGAGGACATCCCTCAAATCAGTATCTCGGATGTCAAAATGAGCTCTTCACCTGCTTACAAAGTTGGCGACCAGGTAAGCAATAAGGTGGAGAATGGAATAGCCATTGCTTGCATTTTCTTCTAAAATGTATGGGAGTCCTTAATTCTGATTTTCTCTGAAGGAACCAATTTCTCGACTGTGTGACAGTTAATGGTTACAAGCAGCAAAAGGTGGATTCCCCCTTCTCGTTAGCTCTGCCCTTTTTTTATCTGCGTTCACACTTAGGTCTGACTTTCCCGGCTATTCCATTGCTGTTTATGAGTGTGGCCTGATAGCTGCTGTGTATAAAACCGCCACAGTTCTGAGTGTGCACAAACGGGGGGGCCTGAGTGGGCTGGTCTTTTGAGCCCTCTCTTGGTGTTTAAACCAGCAAGCAGGGCAATTTATCGAAGATAATTCTTTAAAAAGAGTAATGAGTCTAGAATTATGCTGCAGAGGGGTAGGCCACTGCTTATGACACCAATGTGCTGTGTCACAGCGCCAGTTGCAGTTCCAGCTACTACAGTTCTGATCCAGGGTTTCTGTTCATGAGCTGAGGGCGGGCAGTGGCCTAGTGGCCTATCAGGCTAAATATTTACCAGTAGTGCCAGCATCCCACATATTCACTGGTTTATGTGCCAGTTGTTCCATGTTTTTTAAAAAAAGATTTATTTGCTTTTATTAGAAAGGCAGATCAGAAATACAGAGAGGAAATTCTGAGTGTGTATTTTTACAATGTTGATTTGAAAGGCATAGTTAGAGAGTCTCATCTCTTTCATGCATTTGTTCCCATTGGCCACACAGCCTGCAACGAGGAGCTTGCAATGCCGTCCTGGTCTCTTACGTGTCAGAGTCCAAGCCCTTGAACCATCCTGTCTCGCTTTCCTAGGCATACAAATGGGAAGTTGAATGGCAAGCAGAGCAGCTGGTATTCAGACCAGTACTTATGGGATGCTGACACTGCAGGCGGTGGTTGAACATACTGGACCACAGTGCCAGACCCAGCGTTGATTGTGTTAACATTTTATCCATTCATACCCTTAGAGTTAGCAGCAGAATTTACAGCCATCCTGCAGAAACAGATACAAGAGGAGTGTTGCGGTGCCACAGGTGAAGCTTCTGCCTAGATCGCCCACATGCCACAGTAGTGTGCCAGTTTCAGTCTCAGTTACTTCTGCCTTCACATCAGCTTCCTACTAACACATCCTGGAAGCAGTAATGATGGATCAAGTGCCAGCCATGTGGGAGACCTTCATGAGGTTTGGGCTCCTGGATTGGGCCTGGCTCGCCCTTGGCTGTTTCAGACATTGGAGGAGCAACTTAGTGGATGGAAGACATCTCTCTATTTTGCTTTCAAGTAGATGAAAAAATGAAAATATTTATTTTTTTTTAAGATTCATTTGTTTTTATTGGAAAGGCACATAGCAGAGAAGAGGAGGGACAGAGAGGAAGATCTTCCATCCAGTAGTTCATTCCCAAAGCGGCCGCAACAACTGGAGCTGAGCTGATACGATGCCAGAAGCTTCTTCCAGGTCTCCCACATTTGGACCATGCTTGACTGCTTTCCCAGGCCACAGGCAGGGAGCTGGGTAGGAAGCAAGGCTGCCGGGATTAGAACTGGTGCCCATATGGAATCCTGGCATATTGAACACTCGGACTTTAGCCGCTAGGCTATTGTGCTGGGCCCCGAAAATGAATATTTAAAAAAAGAGAAATGCATATAGATCAATCAGGATGAATATTGGTTGCAATATTAATTGTGATGCCAAATTTGGAAATAGCTCAGGCTGAAATCTTGCCCAAATTAGGACTGGATATTTTTGAAGTTACAATGCAGGATAGCGTAGAATTTCATTTTTGTGTAGCCAATCTGAAAACAATTATCATTCGTTAGCATAGGGCACAGCAGAGTGTCTTTGGGGAGAGGATTCCTGAGTGTTTAGCTTTCAGCTGCCGAAGTTGCCGGCCCCGGGAGATGAGCAAGGGGCAGGGTAACCAGAGATGCAGTGAGCATTCAAAGAATTAAAGAAAGTCACATACAATTCCATGCTAATGAGTATGAAAAATTTTTAAAGGGGGCTTTTTCTTAGGAATCCATAAAATAAAAATTGACTAAAATAGAAACACATAAGAAAAAATTAAGAAAACTATCAGAGCCCCATTTTCAGAGCATTAAGTTCACAAAATTATAACAATGACTTATTTGAAACCTTTAAGGAGCAGTAATTGCTACACAATTCTAAACCTTTCCAAATATAGAGAGCAAAAATGCCATCCCAATTCGTTTATGAAGCCAAAAAGCGACAAAGCTAGCCCAAAGGGGGAGCTTATGAATATTGATTTTAAAACCTTAAAGCTTGAATCAGTCTTAGTAAAGGACTCGATCTGACACTCAGACGGCATGCTGGCTCTACAGGCAGGGGACCAGCTTGTGTACCACATCAGCCCCAAGCTCCTGTTATAAAACCTTCTCTTCTCAGCATAGGGCTGCTTGAGAGACAAGGTTGATTATAGCTGCAGATAACTGAAATCTGTTATCCCTTTCATGTCTAAAGGTGAAATTATTCATTACTAATCTGGCAGAATAATTCAAGCCCTTCTTGGAAGTTAGAGAAGGCCCTGTGGCACAGCCAGTGCAGCCGGCACCAGTGATATAAGCATTTCATCTCTTATCTATGTTTTTTTTTTAATTTACTTATTTTGGCCCAGAGCAATGGCCTAGTGGCTAAATCCTTGCCTTGTAAGTGTCAGGATCCCATATGGGTGCTGTTTCATGTCCCAGCGGCTCTACTTCCCATCCAGCTCCCTGCCTGTGGCCTGGGAAAGTGGTAGAGAATGGCCCAAAGCCTTGGGACTCTGCACCTATGTGGGAGATGCATAAGAAGCTCCTGGCCCCTGGCTTCGGATTGGCTCAGCTCTGGCCATTGCGGCCACTTGGGGAGTGAGCAAACAAATATTTTTCGTGCTGTATTTCCTCTCTGTAAAATCTGTCTTTCCAATAAAAATAAATCTTAAAAAAAAAAAAGATTTACTTATTTGAAGGGCAAAGTAATAGAGATGCCTTCCATCTACTGGTTTGCTTTCCAAATGCATGCAACAACTAGGAGTGGGCCAGCTCAGGGCCGGCGTTGTGAGCAGTGGGTTTAGTCACTGCCTGTGATAGTAATACTTCTTGTTGGTGCCAGTCGGCTTGCCGGCTACTGTGCCTCCCATCCAGCTCCCTGGTAATGTGCGTGGATGAACAGTGAGGGATGGCCCAAGTACTTGGGGCCCTATACCCACGTGAAAGACATGGGTGAAGGTCCTGGCCCCTAGCTTGGGCAAGGCCAGTACAATCACTGGATCATGTGACAATTCTATGTGTAATAGTTGATGGATTGCTAAACCTTGTTTTTTGATGAAAAAGTTAACATTGTAGGGCCTGGCGGCATGGCCTAGCGGCTAAAGTCCTCACCTTGAACGCACCGGGATCCCATATGGGCACTGGTTCTAGTCCCGGCAGCTCCACTTCCCATCCAGCTCCCTGCTTGTGGCCTGGGAAAGCAGTTGAGGACAGCCCAAAGCTTTGGGAGCTTGCACCCGTGTGGGATACCCAGAAGAGGTTCCTGGTTCCTGGCTTCGGATCGGTGCAGCACCGGCCGTTGCGGCTCACTTGGGGAGTGAATCATCGGACAGAAGATCTTCCTCTCTGGCTCTCCTCCTCTCTGTATATCTGACTTTCCAATAAAAATAAATAAATTTTTTTAAAAAGTTAACATTGTAAATATGCCAGCTCTCCCCTAAATTTGTGAATCAAGTCCAGTCACAAAGACTATCCTAAAGGAATTCCTTATTAATGATATCATGATTGTAAAATTATATATTTTGGTTTTGCAATGAATATGATCCATTTCATAATTGTATATGGTTTTAAGTATTTGTTTGAAATGCAGAGTAACAGAGAAGAAGAGACAGAGATGGCTTCTCTGCTTCCCTTGCTGAATTCCATCCTAAATGCCTACAACAATCGCAGTGAGGTGAGGCTGAAGGCAGCCCACAGCCAGGACCCAAGAACTTGGGCTGTCATCTGCCACCTCACTGATGCATCATCAGAAACCTCGATTGGAAGCACGAAGTAGCTGGGACTGAGACCAAGCGTTGCAATATGTAATGCAGGCATCGCACAGGGTGGCATAACTTACCATGCCATATGCAGGTCCCTGGCTCTGTAACTTAAAAAAAAAAAAAAGGCACTCAGGCATTTGTATTTTGGAAAATAAATTTTAACTATTTAATAATTACTTATGTAGATGGGACAGACAATAAACTTATTTGAAATAGATATTTAAAATAAATTCCATCTGTAAAGTCATAGATGAGATTCTAGTTAATGTAACAGCAGGAACCATGAGCATGTGAAATTTACGGAATATTACCTGCTTGACAACTAGAGATGGGAGGATCTTAACTAAAAAGAATGCAAATTTAGAGCAAGTTAGTGCCACATCAGTTATGTGGAAGATGTTTTTGAGAAATTGGTACCCGATAAACCAAGTATGGGTTTTAAGTAGGCTAGTAATTCATGTCTATGATCCTGAAAAAGATCTTTGTGAATCCCAACTCTACCTTTTCTCAAGATTGGTGACAACTTGTAAATCTACAAAATGGTACTTTCCTTCTGCGTTTCATAGGACTGCACGCTTCCTTTCTTGTAGGTGGCTACTCGGAAAGCCTGTGGTTTGGCTCTTGCCAAGCTGGGCCATGCAAATGACAGAGTTGTTGTGTTAGATGGGGACACCAAAAACGCCACTTTCTCTGAAATCTTCAAGAAAGAACACCCTGAGCGCTTCATTGAATGCTTCATTGCTGAGCAAAATATGGTGAGTGTTGTGTTTGCCTCCCTGGCCGTTGAGATGGCAGCATTGGGTATGATATGATACAGAGGACGAGAAAGGTGTCATCTCCGGCGAGTGACAAGCCTGGCAGGACTGCGGAAGGGCACGGTCCTGAGGGAAGATGAGAATTAGGTCATTTCTAGCTACGTACTGACGTGTTTCTGCATCAGCCATCGCTTCTCTTAGCAGCCTTTCTCTTTGCTGAATAGTTATTTGCTCACTCAGTTGAAAGAGCAACACAAAGAAAGGGTGATACAGAGATCTTCCATGGTCTCAGCAGCCAGGCCAAAACCAGGAGCCCAGATCTTTGTCCTGGTCTTGGACAATGGGTGGCAAGGACTGAAGCACTTGGATCATCTTCTGCTTTTTACAGGTGTGTTAGCAGGCAGCTGGATTGCCGAACCAGTCTTCCAGTATCCATCGCTGGCACTGCAAGTGGCTGCTTAGCTTGCTGTGTCACAATTTAAGCCCCAAAGTTTTTAATCACAAATTTAAGTAATTGCAAAGGATGTAATCATTTACATACTAACATTTTTGTATTCAATTAATATTTAAATTATTGAATTAAAGATTCTACCAAGACAATTGTTTCTCAGAAATTGAATCCCTTTTTCTATTCGAATTCTTCTTATTCCCTTTCCTCTGGCATTCCTTTATGCACTAAAGCATTTTATTTGATCATCCTGTCATTCCTGTCTGCGACAAAAATATGCACATAAATTGATAGCTTCTTCAAAGTTGTGTATATCTTGGATCCCATGTGACAGCTGAGTGGCTAAATCCTTGCCTTGCACTACATCAGAATCCCATATTGGCGCTGGCTGCTCCATTTCCCACCCAGCTCCCTGCCTGTCGCCTGGGAAAGCAGTGGAGGACGGCCCAAAGCCTTGGGACCCTGCACCCATGTGGGAGACCCCGGAAGAAGCTCCTGCTCCTGGCCTGGAACCAGCTCAGTTGCAGCCATTGCAGGCACCTGGGGAATGAACCAAGCAGGTGGAAGATCTTTCTGTCTGTATCTCTTCTCTCTGTAAAATCTGTCTTTCTAATAATAAAAAAAATCTTTTTAAAAAGTTTTAGGGCCTGGCACGGTAGCCTAGTGGCTAGAGTCCTCGCCTTGAACGTGCCAGGATCCCATATGGGCGCTGGTTCTAATCCTGGCAGCTCCACTTCCCACCCTGCTCGCTGCTTGTGGCCTGGGAAAGCAGTCTTGAGGACAGCCCAAAGCCTGGGGACCCTCCACCCAGGTAGGAGACCTGGAAGTGGCTCCAGACGCCTGACTTGGGATCGGCTCAGCTCCGGCCATTGTGACTTTTTGGGGAGTGAATCAGCAGACAGAAGATCTTCCTCTCTATATATCTGACTTTGCAATAAAAATTAAAATATAGACTACCTATTGGGGCATCGCTGGTAAAGACACCTGCATCTCATACTTGCCTTGCTCATATGGACGCAGGAAGGTGGCAGGGTGCTTGAGTGTCTGCTTTCCTGCCATCCGTGGGCGACCTGACTTGGCCCACAGCTTACAGCTTTGGTGTGCTTATTGGAGTCATTTGGGAAGGGAACCGACAGACGAGATCTTTCTCACTGTGTCTACCTCTCCAGCCCTTCCTCTCAAATTGGGGAAAAAAAAAAAAAAAACCCAAGATCTTATTTTTTATATAGGAAATTTGAAATCCATGTAGTTTGTTTCCTAATACACACATTTTATGAACTTTCCGAAGTACCTTCACACATCAGTGGGTAAATATATTTGGTTTGAATCAAATATGACTTATGTTCTGTTCCTGTTTTTCATCGTAATGATGTTAAATGCTTAGAAATCTTATTTGTGTAAGTACCAAGACACTTGAAAAAGTTCATGTGAAACAAAAAAGTCTATCTTTTGGTAGAAAACAGTTTTGACATTCTTGGATCTGTGTGTTTCTGTTTCCCTCTTAAGCAGATGAGAAAGGGAGTTTCGCCACTCAGTTCTTTGAATTGTTTGCCAATTATAAGTCACAGTTTCCGGTGAGCTTTGATTTTAAGTTGTTCAGATGTCGAGCTGCCGGCTGGGACACAGGCGTCCCGGCTCAGGGCGCCGGCTCGTTCCCTGCTGCACCTCTGCTCCAGGCCTGGGGTCCTGCCGCCCAGCAGCGGAGGCCTGGGTGGAGTTCCCGCCCCACTGTGGGACATTTGGGGCAGTGCAGCAGCAGCTGTTGATCACCCTTTGAAATAAATAGGTAGATAATGTTTGAAAAAATAAAATTGTTGATAAAATTGTTCATAGAATTGACAATACCGTAAGGTTCTCTTTCGATTTTGTTGAAAGAAAACAATTGGCAAGTACATGAGCTGCAAAAGGATCTGTCCGCTAGTCATTTACATTCTTGACTTTCTCAACAGCATCATGAATAAATTGCCCTCTTTTTACGATTTATTTATTTTTATCAGAAAGTAAGATTTATAGACAGAAGGAGAGACAGAAAATCCTTCTATCTGCTGGTTCACTCCCCAAGTGGCTGCAACGGCCAGAGCTGAGCTGATCCGAAGCCAAGAACCTGGAGCTTCTTCTGGGTCTCCCATGCAGGCACAGGGTCCCAAGGCTTTGGGCCATGCTTGACTGCTTTCCCAGGCCACAGGCAGGGAACCGGAAGGGAAATGGAGTGAGCAGCATACAAACCAGAGGATAGGATACTGGCACATGCAAGGCAAGGACATTAGCCACTAGGCTACTGCACCAGGTCTGGTGTTTTGGGGTTGTATTGATATTTTGTTTGTTTTGTTTTGAAAGAGTTAGGGGAGGGAAGGGACAAAGAAACATCTGTAATTAGCTGGTTCACTCCTGAAATGGTTAGGGCTATGCCAGGCTGGAGCTTGGACCTTCTTGTAGGTCTCCCATGTGGGTAAAGGGACCCAAGAATTTGAACCATGCTCTGCTGCTTTTCCAGGCTCATTATCAAGGAACTGGATCAGAAGTGGAGCAGCTAGGACTCAAACAAGTGCTCATATGGGATGCGAGTGTCTCAGGGGGTAGCTTAACCAGATAATGCCACAATAGAAGGTGTCTTAGGAGAAAGTAGGAAAGAAAGCCACTGTCCCTTTCTCTGGCAGATGAACATAGAACCAAGTCAATAGGGAGTCGTGAATTTTGACTTTGAAACAAGTCATGACCACATCCCACTTGGAAAGCTTTTTTTTTCACCCTCAGTGATAATTCAGATTCCATTGTGAAGCCCACTGCAGTGTATGAGTGTGGCATTCAAGGGGAGGTAAGTTGAAAGTAAAAGTCGTTACCATGATGCAGATCAGAGAACCAGTATCACATTGCACCTTTCCAGAAGCGTCAAAACTAAGGGAGCATGGAGTCCTGAGCGCTCCCTGCAGTAGTCCATGGGAAAGAAGTGCACGCTCCAGCAGATACAGCAAGGCAGCAGGATTGGCCCACTTGCCATATCACAAAAACATGGGGAAATGCCTGCAGGAAGGCAAAGGTGGTTGTAGTGCCAAGTGCTACTGGGGAAGGTCACATGAGACGCCAGCTAAGGTGGCAGCCTCAAGGTCCCTCCTCGGGATAGCAACCGAGATGAAGTAGTGAGCTTATGAAAAAGTGAAAAAAAGCAGGGACAATGACTGAACAGCTTTTTGGGTTTTCTGTGATGAACAACATATCATAGTGGGACATTGGAAGAGGGCCAAGGCCGAGTGGGAGAGTGGAGATGAGACGCGCTGTTGTCCCTTTGGTAATGGAGTGATTCAGAGATGGGATGCTGGCGATTTCGGTGCAAGTGGAAAGACGTGACGCCATTGTTCAAACCAGAGAAGGGTGAGATTTCAGGATGAATCCCTTAGGGAGGTTCACAGTCATGCACAAAGGAGGGCAGGCAGGGGTGGGTACAGACTGCCACTTCCCTTCCTACTCTCCAAGGAGGCATGAGGGTTCCCCTGAACTGGAAGAGTGGGGGAAGAAAGGTGCAGAAAGCTTGAGAGAATGGGGAAGAAACAGGCTGGAAGGACAGAACAGTTAGGTAAGTGCAGAGTCTGTCATGCTGGGACCACACAGTCTAAACGGGGAGCAGGGATGTACTAACTTCATTTGTGTTGCAGGTGAGTGTGGCATTGGGCTGTGCCACCCGTGGTCGAACCATTGCTTTTGCAAGCACCTTTGCTGCCTTTCTGACCCGAGCATTTGATCAGATCCGCACGGGAGCCTTCTGTGAAACCAGTATCAATCTGATTGGCTCCCACTGTGGCGTGTCTGTGGGTATGTGTTGTAAAGGTCGTCATCTTCATAGCTTCTCTGCTTACAAAGATTTTCTTGTGATAACTTGTCTAAATTTACTTGAGTTCCTTTTTTTTTTAAAGCTACATTTGGTTTTAAAATGTTCAACTTTTGAAGTGACTACTAGTGTACTCTGGTGCTCACCAGGAAGTAATTGTCTGTCCTTCATGCCTCTTCTGTACCTTACTGCCTACTGGAGAGGGTTAGGGGTAGTACAGAGGTCCAGGGTTCCTTTGCGCCCTCAGTGTGGCGGTGGTGGGATGAGAGCAGTAGCATGCACAGAGGGGAGGGAGGGAACCTTGGAGCAGCTAGACAGCCTCAGAGCAGACGGGGTGGATAAAGCCCTCAAGGCAGGCTAGGTCAGAACAAGTCAATACCGCTGTCAGGATGGCCACCGTGCTCAGCTGTTGACCTTGTAGGATAGGCTAGACATTTCTGATTAGGGGAACCCTGGACAGCTGAGAGTTGGAACCAGGTATGCTCTGCTGGTAGAGCCGAGAACTCAAGGGTGGACATGAAAATGAGAAAAAGGCTCACACTGCTGAAAATGGAGGGTCCCATACCATGTGAACAGTTGGAAAGGTCAGGGGATCTTATTAATGAGTGACAGAAATGAGCTCCTGGGAAAGACGACTTGCTTGAGATGCCCTCTAAATGCATTTGCTGCCAGAATCCACAGAGATGCATGATGGGGAGCAAACAACTTCCTGGGGAATGACACTGAGTAATCTGACTTGGCTGGAGCAGAAAGCCAGGCTCAGTGTGTGAAACAGAAAGAGTGGATGGCAGAGCAGCACCACAGCTGACAGCAGTTGGACCTGACACAGAGTGGCTGCCAAGGACTGGAGTCAGTGCACAAGTGTCTGCTGGAGCGAGGTGTCAGATGATGCACGGCTCTTGGGCAAAGTGGCACGCACAGTGCTCGTCCCTTGTGAGCTGGAAGTTGTTGAGCTGCTGCTCGACATTCAGGTTTGTCTTCACGTAGCATTTCTGAACAAACCCTAAGGGCACGCTGAAGTGTGTTACACTCCATTACTCAGAGGCCTTCAGAAATGAACAAGATGGCTTGGAAAAGCAGAGAGGAAGGACAGAGCCTGAGAGAACCCTTGGAAGACCAAGACAGGGCCTGGGACTTGGCACTGTCCTAGGCTACCAGCCCCCAGGGGAGAGAGCGGAGTCTGATTGGACAGGAGTGCCAAGTGACCAACCCACAGAGATGGCTTTGTTGGCTGGCCAAGGGTTTGTATACCCACAGATGTTAGCAGGAAGATCTCAAGGGAGAGACATGTGCATATAAGCCAGCTATCATGAGCCACAGCCCTGTTGGCACTGGATTATTTCTTAGGGTTCTGCAGTTGACCTTCAGCGGTGAATGGGTGGGAGCAGGCTCTGGGTGAGAGTTGTTGTATGCTCGTAATTTTGTTGGATTGTGCCTTTCCCAGGTGAAGATGGCCCTTCACAGATGGCCCTGGAGGACCTGGCCATGTTCCGAGCCATTCCCAACTGCACTATTTTCTATCCAAGTGACGCTGTCTCCACCGAACATGCTGTCTGTCTGGCAGCCAACACCAAGGTATTTACGGAAATGTAAATACCTAGTTTACATCACCACCGGATTGATGCCTCTCAACATTACAGTTATAGAAAATACGGTAGCAGGATTCTTTTGTTTTAGAAAAGAACTTTAAAACTTTCACAAAACAAGTGATTATGTGTGCATATTTGTATCATAAAAACCTCAAATGACACAGCAGGATCCTGAACAAAACTGGCGGCCACAGTCTTGGAGAGCTCAGTGCAAGAACCAGGAACACTCAGCATGCTGAACTATAAAGAGATTTAGTGAAAAATACTTGCAGTCCTAGGAGTGGGCTCCAGGCGAGGCTCAGGATGAATTGCTAACTCACTGGTGGAGCTGGAGCTGCTGCTGCTGGGTTATGGGACATAAGACACACTCCACTTGCTCCAGGCAGGGGTCAAGAAGCTACTGTCCGCTCTTGCCATCGAACGAAATGGAATGTGGCGGTAGGCATCATGCACACACCTCCCAGAGCCTGCCGCCCTGGGGTGGCAGAGGGACAGAAAGGAATGTGTCCAGAATCCTAGCTTAGGGAATGTAGTCTTTGTTTCTCCAGCCCCTCCAGCAGCTCCACCCACACCCCTGCACTGGAACGTGGGCGCAACTAGGGCAGGTCATACAAGATCCCTTTCTAAGCACTTAACAACATAGAAATATTTCTTTGATTTTGAAATATATATATATTAGTACAAAGATACCCCCATCGTCTGGTTCACTTCCCAATTGCTTGAAACAGCCAAGACTGAGGCCCACTAAAGCCGCTAAACAGCTAGGGCAATCCAGGTCTCCCAAGTGGACAACAGTGACCCAAGTACTTAACAGTCACATGTTAACAAGAGCTGGAATCAGAGGCAGAGCTAGGGCTCAGGCACAAGCACTCTGTAGGGCATCCAGCCACCCCAAGTGCTATGCCCGGCCCTGATCCCGTCTTAATAAGTAGCCCCACACTATACATATTGTTCCATTTTGTTTTGTTTTGTTTTTTAATATTTATTTTTATTACAAAGTCAGATATACAGAGAGCAGGAGAGACAGAGAGGAAGATCTTCCATCCAATGGTTCACTCCCCAAGTGAGCACAACAGCCAGAGCTGAGCCAGTCTGGAGCCAGGAGCCAGGAACTTCTTCCAGGTCTCCCACGCGGGTGCAGGGTCCCAAGGCTTTGGGCCATCCTCCACTGCTTTCCCAGGCCACAAGCAAGGAGCTGGATGGGAAGTGGGGCTGCCGGGATTAGGACCGGTGCTCATATGGGATCCCGGGCATGCAAGGTGAGGACTTTAGGTGCTAGGCAATGCCGCCGGACCCAATATTGTTTTGTTTAATTTTACTTATTAGGTCTGGGCAACTGTTTCATGAATTTATCATGTCATAGAGCCAAAACCAACCTAACTAGTAGAAATCAGAGTAGCGTTTACTTCTTACAGGTGGAGAGTGTGGCCTGCAGGAGCTCTCAGGGCAGGGGACATAGTGTCCACATTTGGGTCATGCCTACACATTGCTGCCTTGGCAAAAGTTCTGGCATGCTGAGCTTAGGGTCTGTACCTTTTCCTGCAGCTACATTACACATCAAAATGACATTGAAGAAAATTGGCTTATAGTAGGGAGTGAGCAGAAACAGTATTTCCCTGTTGGGGTGTTGGTTTACAGTGCATATCTAAATCTGCGTTCGTTTAGCTAGACATCTCACTAGTACACCATTACGTGTTTGTGTTCAGGGTGCTAATGTGTTCACATCTTCTCCTTGGATATAGGGTCAGATTTCATATTCCGATATCTGAGGTCTTTGAAGATGAATGTCATTAGTGTAACAAAAATGGAATTTTTTCCGCATTGTGTTCTGGGCTTTCTAGCTTACATAGGCCGTATCCCTGCTTGTGTTTCTGTTCTGCGGAAGCCCTTCCTGAGCCAGTCACAGGAACGCTGTGCTGCTCCACTCTGCTGCTCGCACGCAGCCTGGCTCAGTTGCAGTCAGGTGACTGAGGTTGGAATGCTCATCCTTCGCCCCAAAGTATCTACTCCATTTTTAGTTTGAAAAAGAACTGTTAGGCTTTTCTTGCCTCACACTGTTCCAAAGTTTCTGAGTTCAAGATTTCAGTTTGGTTTCTAAACTGTGGCTTTGTTCTTCATCTAGGGAATGTGCTTCATTCGCACCAGCCAACCAGAAACTGCAGTGATTTACAACCCAGAAGAAACCTTCAAGGTCGGACAGGCCAAGGTGAGGGCCGGCTCTGCAGCGTGGGCCAGTGTCTTTCCACACACAGACGGCTGCTCTAAACTTTCTGCTGGCTGTCCCTGCAGTAGTCTGCGTCTTCCTGTTTCTGCTCTCATTTTCCAAAGCAGCGTTTGTGAACTTGGCCTACTTTAAGGAAGAGATACTGAGTATAAGCTTCTGCTTGACCTTTATCTTTCTCTGCTTGCCAACCGATGTGCCTTTTTCTCAGCCTCTTAAAGCAGTAGCAATTTGAAGGCACTTGAGTGTCTTCGGGCGTGATTCGTGCATGTGAATGATAGATCTGTTAGTTTCAGATGTTACAGAACTGAGTCCAGGTACAAAGGGAAAGCGCATGTGGCCACTTTGTACCTGCTGAGACAGCCTCACCCCCAGGCATGCTGCTCAAGGTTGTCACTGCCTGGCACTTCCCAGGCCATCAGCTAGAGGATTCATAGCTCCCAAGTGGCAAGAGCAGGATTCAGGCCCAAGCAGTGAGCCCACTAAATTGTCCACCTCCTGCACTGCCTCTCTTTTTGAGCCAGGTATGGGGAAAACTAGAAAATTCTATGGCGGATATGAAAGGCTTGACTTAACCCCCCAGAGAATGTGGCTCACAGAAATGTTGGTATGTCTTGGCTTTTTCCTAAGCACCTGTGTATACTCTTGTATAGTTGACATCATACTGTGTAGGAAGGTTTTACGCCCCGATTGCCTTGGTAAGAGCATGGTACAGTGCAATCAGTATTTTTTAATGTGCAATATTACAGCATAGCCACTGCTTTCATTTTTGTTTTATTTGGAAAGGGAAAAACACAGAGGTCTTCCATCTGCATATTTGCTTTCCAAATGACTGTGGCAGCCAGAGCTGCGCCAGGCCAGAGGTAGGAGTCAGGAATTTCATCCTGGTTTTTCGTGTAGGTGGCAGGGACTCAAGTACTTATACCAGTATCCACTACCTCCCCAGGCTCATTGTCAGGAAGCTGAATTGTAAGTGGAGCAAACATGACTTGAACTGGCATGCATGCCAATATGGAATGTAGCTGTCCCAAGCACCAGCTTACTGCACCACAACACTGGCCCCCATGTGCAGTCTTCAAAGCTAGGACATCTTCAGAGAACAAGAGGGCTTACAAACCCTGAGGTTATATATTATCAGCAAGGGTTCTGTTGAGCTACAGGAAAGGCGGTACGGCGTGTCACCTTTGTCACACAACTGCACAGAGCTTAGTAGGAGGCTCTGAGCGTGCTGTGAGCTTACAGTGCAAGGTGCTTGGCACAGAACTTGTTGCCAGGGCCCTAGTACAGTCCCTATTCCCCTGGTAATTCCTGCAGTTTCATCTGTATGTGAATTCCATTAAGTTTTTGAAGCGTGCATCTGTGCACATAAATTCATGCTCTAGGCTGCGCGTCACACATTATTAGTATGACCCTCTGCCTTTTACATCCTACTTTGAAGTCTACCTTTTTGTGTTGCTAAGCAGCTACCACAGTTTATACCAATGTTTTTGCATATTTCATTCATTTGAGTGGAATAGAGCTGTTTTCATCCTTTGGATCACTCCTCAGATGATCAGAACCACCAAGGCTAGACGAGATTAGAGCCAGGATCTCAATCCAGGTGGCTTATGTAAGTGGCAGGAATCCAGCAGCATGCACATCACCGAATGCCTCCCAAGGTATTGCCAGAACCAAGAGTTGAGCCAGGACTCAAACCCAAGCATTGTGATAAGAGCTGGCAGGCCTTTTAACATGCGAGCTGAATACCCGTCCTCCCTTTTGTTAAAGGTTCATTCTGTATATGTTTCATAGAAAATCTTAGCAATGTAGCACTGTAAGTCAAGAGGAAAGGTGGTTCCATTTGCAAAATCTGAAATAAGGCCTATTGGAAAGAGTTTGTTTTAGATTTTAAAACCAGCTGATTCTTTTTTTTTTTTTAATGAAGAATTCATTTTTTGACTTGAGAAACAGAAATAGCTCCTATATGCTGGTTCACTGGTTCACCCAAGCACCCACAGTAGTCAAGGTTTGGCTAGCTGGATCGGGAACTGGCTTCCCATAGTTACAGCAACCCAGTTATTTGGACCATTGTCACTGTCTCCCTGGGTTTGCATTGGCAGGAAGCTAGAGTCAGGAGAAAGAAACAGGTATTAACTCCCGGCACTCCTGTGTGGGTTATGGATATGTCATGTGATGTACCTGCTAGGCCAGAGTATGTGCTTACAGTGAATTACTAAAGAGTGAGAATGTTGGGATTGGAGAAGGGCGTGCAGTTGAATGTCCTCTTATGAAATGTGCTGTATATGGGGTAATTGTGGCATTTTGTTTTACTGGTGTTTCCTTAGGTCATCCGCCAAAGTGCCAATGACAAGGTCACAGTTATTGGAGCTGGAGTTACTCTGCATGAGGCCTTAATGGCTGCTGAAGATCTTTCTAAAGAAGGTGAGTTGCTTGTGTGTCAACATTGAAGTCAAGCTAGGGAAATGTAGGACTCCAGCTACCTGGTGTGCTCTGGTTGGTCTTTCTAGTTCTATACCTACATACTCTTTTAACAAGGGTTTTATAATTTTTTAAAGCAGCTTATTTTATTTGGAAGGCAGAGACAGGGAAAGAAAGGCTGTCTGGTTCAACCCCTCCAAACGTCTACAATGGCAGGGCCTGAGCCAGTCTAAAGCTAGCAACTGGATACTCACTCTAGGTCTCCTGTCTGGGTTGCTCTGAGTCAGCTTCATTCAACCAGCGGGCTGGTTATTATTGTTCTCCAGGTTTTTTTTTTTTTTCAACTAGCACTTAAAATTTTTATTTATTGGAGAAACACAGCTCCCATCCGATTATAAAAAGTGTCCATAACGGTGTGAGCAGGGCGAAGTCGAAGCCAGTAGTGTAGTCTAGGTTTCCTATGTGGACGATAGAAATCCAAGTTCTTAAACCATCACTATTGCCTGTTGGACTATTGGCAGAAACCCACAGCATCAAAGGCAGAGCACTCCAGTGTGTCACTAGGATAAAGGCCCATCCCTTTCTTCCAGATGTTTTTATCCGTGTCATCGACCTGTTTACTATTAAACCGCTGGATGCTGCCACGATCATCTCCAATGCAAAAGCAACAGGTGGCATGATTATCACAGTGGAGGATCACTATGCAGAGGGTATGTCCAGCGTCTCGAGTGGTTTGGAGGATTTTTTGGGCGGAACGTGTGTTTCCTTGGAAAATGGCTGAACTTGGGCCATCACTGCTAGCCTCGCATTCATCCAGTACCCCTCAGGCTCCTCCCCAAAAGACTGTGTCTGTTCAGGGACACCCACCAGAGACAGCCCCTTCGGCTATGACTGGGGACTTGTCACAGGGTCACCCTCTGCCAAGTGCCTGGCAGAGTTCCAGCTGGGGCCAGGCATGAGCGCCTAGGTTGGCCTGCCGCTCCCTCTCCCGTGCCCTGGTCCGTAGTTGCTTTTGTCTTTGCCGCGGGCCTCGTGGTCTTCAGCATGGGGGCTTCACAGACAGCCCTGTCCAGGGAGCCCAGATGGGGGGCAGCAGCCCGTGCCGCAGGGGGAGGGAGCAGCGACAGGTGGGGAATGTCTGCTTGAGCATGGGGCCACTCAGACGAGGGCTGCTTTGGGGGCTGGGGCTGCGGTACTATTTCTCCTGCCAAGGGCCATTTGGACCTTGGGAAAGGCATTTGAGGGCCGTGGAAAGTGACCTAACAAATGAGCCTGCTGTGCCACATGCATCGTCTTGAGCCCAACCTGTAGCTGCCTTGGCAGGGACACACCAAATGATTTCATGGGCCTTATACAACCCATGGACTGGTCTTTCCCTACACTTGGACATGAATCAATGAAGAGTGAAGACATTTTGCCCTGGGGACAAGCAAATTCCCAGGCCTCTGCATCTGGGGCTTTTCTAGGCTTAACAACTACTTCCAGAAGGGACCCTAACTCCCCTGGTTTTCCCCAGGTGGCATCGGGGAAGCCGTCTCCTCTGCCGTCGCCATGGAAGCGAGCATTGTCGTTTACCAGCTGGCAGTAGTGGGGTTGCCCCAGGATGGAAGACCGAGCGAGCTGCTGGATGTGTGTGGCATCAGTGCCAGGCACATCATCATGTCTGTGAAGAGGATTTTAAGCACCTAAAAGTGATTTTAAGAGTGGCCGTTCTACCCTACCTTTCTGCCTATTCCAAAACAATCCTTACCATCTATTCTGCTGTGCTTCTTGAAAGCACAGCCTTTTGCCCATTTCTTCAGCCCTAATTCCCAAGTTCAACTGAACTTTCCAAAAAAAAAAAAAAAACAAGTCATGCCTGCATAGCCAAACTTGTGTAAGTGATGAGCAGCTAATGAAACAACTATTGCTAACAGTATTGTGATGAGCCTGCAGGTACTGTGTAGTGGGTGAGTGTGGAGGTGACAGTTATTCCATAAATACTAGAAAATTCAGTTGTAGGCATCAGCCGAGGTTTTACAGCATCCATAACACCATGCCACACTGCTGCTTTGCCCTCTGTTAGATCGCATGTGTGCCATCCTACCTGCAGCTTCCTGGGTAATGTGCAGTTGCAGTCGCCCTGGAGTTGTCACGAGTATTCGCCTTCATCTCCGCTCCACAGTGCAGAGGCTGACGAGCCGCAGCAGCAGCCAGGATGTTCTGTGCTGCTTGCAGTGACAGCTCTGTGGAGAGATAAGGGCATGGCTTGGTTCCCTCCTCTTCCCTACCCCCCTGTTCATGTTAATAAAGCATTTCAAAAGCCTGCTGCTTTATTCAGTTTGTGCTTCTGGGAAATTCGGTTGCTCCAGGATAGTCTTAAGGGAAGATGTTCTATATAAAGTAGTTCAGGGCACGTGGCCCCCAGCAGTAGCACTGGCCTTGAAACAAGCCATTTGCTAGAGAACAGGAGTTGGCCTACAGAGCCATCCTGTAGCCACTGAGAGCCAGTCAGCCAGATCAGGATGACTCTGAGAGTTAAAACTACATTGGTAATAATACTGCATTGTCTGGGATGCCATGCTGTCCTGCTATACTCTCATTAAGCACTTACCTGAGTCTCTGGAGCTCTGACCAGTTCATCAGGAATTGTTCCATGTGACAAATGCCCAAGAACTGGCATGGGCCTCCTCATTCTTTTCTTTTTTTTTTTTTTTTTAAGATTTTTTGTTTTATTTTACTACAAAGTCAGATATACAGAGAGAAGAGACAGAGAGGAAGATCTTCCGTCCGATGATTCACTCCCCAAGTGAGCCGCAACGGCCAATGCTATGCCGATCCGAAGCCAGGAACCAGGAACTTCTTCCGGGTCTCCCACATAGGTGCAGGGTCCCAAAGCTTTGGGCCATCCTCAGCTGCTTTCCCAGGCCACAAGCAGGGAGCTGGATGGGAAGTGGAGCTGCCAGGATAGAACCGGTGCCCATATGGGATCCCAGGGCGTTCAAGGTGAGGACCTTAGGTGCTAGGCCAAGCCGCTGGGCCCAGGGCCTCCTCATCCTACCTGTCCTTTTAAATCGGTGAACTAGTTTTCCTGGTGTATAGAAAGTTCTTACTATGCTTACAAAAAAGATGTTATAAAATAAATTGGTGTAGGATGATTCAAACATTTAGAAATGGTAAATGAACAATTATTTAAATGGCTTCAGATTGTTGTACCTATGTATTTGTGTTGCTTGAAAAGCAGACAGATCTGTCTTCACATTCCCCCAATGCCCACAAAAGCCAGGAGGGCTGGACCGAGTCAAAGCCAAGAGCCAAGAACTCCATTTGGGACTCCCACACTGGCGATTGAGATCTGCCACCTCCCAAAATGCATGAAGAAGTTGGCTTGCAAAATGAGCCAGGCTCTGACTTGAGGACTGTAGCAGGGTAGTAGCTGTCCTGATCTGCAACTCCATAAGCCTCACATCAAATAACAAGCTTGCCATACCACATTATACTACTGGCAGGGCAACATCTGGCCCAGTGATGATGCTGTTTGGGATGTCAGCATCCCATTGCTCTGCCTGGGACTGCACTGGCTCCGCTTCCTCTTAACGTAGACCTTGGAAGACAGCAGGTGATGGCCCAAGTACTTTGGTACCTGTACCCACATGGGAGAAGTAGATATTTAGTTTTGGGTTCCTGACTCTGAACTGGCACAGCCACAACTATTGAAGGCATTTGCAGAATGAACCGGTGGATGGAAGGCCCATTGTCTGTCTGCCTTTTAAATTTCTGAAACAAAAATTTGCAGTTTGGGCCCGGCGAAGTGGTCTAACGGCTAAAGTCCTCGCCTTGAATGCCCCGGGATCCCATATGGGCGCCGGTTCTAGTCCAGGCAGCCCCGCTTCCTATCCAGTTCCCTGACTGTGGCCTGGGAAAGCAGTCGAGGACGGCCCAAGGCATTGGGAGCCTGCACCCGTGTGGGAGATACCTGGAAGAAGTTCCTGGCTCCTGGCTTCGGATCGGCATAGCATCGGCCATTGCACTCACTTGGGGAGTGAATCATCGGACAGAAGATCTTCCTCTCTGTCTCTCCTCCTCTCTGTATATCTGACTTTGTAATGAAAATAAAATAAATCTTTAAAAAAATTTCTTTGCAGTTTAGTTTCTAATGCACTTTGGTGCAGCCATGAACAGAGTTAATTTTAGAACATTTATATCAGCCCCAAAATGAATACCTTGAAGTCATGGTGTCACTTCCCGTTTTCCCTCCCAGCCGCTGACAATCACTAACCTACTTTCTTGTTTATATGGACTGGTCTATTGTGAATATTCCTTACAAATGTAATCAAACAATAGAGCGTCTGGCTGCTTTCACTTAGCATAATCCATATAGCCCACTGCCAGCTGCATTCCTCTCAAGCCGCATGATGCTCCATCCTGTGCATGGAGCACGTTTCATCTACCATTCACACCGTCAGCTGCAGGACGTTTGCGTTGTTGCCACTTCTTGTCTGTTGTGAAATTGTGCTGTTCTGAGCGGTCACATACGCAGGCTGCTGTGACCTGCAGAGTTCCCTTCTTGGTCCATGTGTATGGCCAGGGGTGGGGTTGCTGGCTCATAGGGTAGTTTTCTTGACCAGTCTCTGAGGTGGCTGTGTGTAAGCTGCAAACAGTGAGTCAGCCACTGCACAGATGCTGTGCCATCTGGAAACCACATAGGCCAAGGTAAGCACTTACTAACCAAAAGATGGGTGACCATGATTCCTTGTATGCAAATGGAAATTGCCAGATTTGGCATCTGCAACGAAAATTGGCTACACAAATGTCTTCTGACAGCCTAACTGAAGTACCCATAATTAAAATGTAATTTGGGGACCCGGCAGCGTGGCCTAGTGGCTAAAGTCCTCGCCTTGAACGCTCCGGGATCCCATATGAGCGCCAGTTCTAATCCCGGCAGCCCGACTCCCCATCCAGCTCCCTGCCTGTGGCCTGGGAAAGCAGTGGAGGACGGCCCAAAGCCTGGGGACCCTGCACCCGCGTGGGAGACCCAGAAGAGTCTCCTGGTTCCCAGCTTCAGATTAGCATAACACCAGCTGTTGCGCTCACTTGGAGAGTGAATCATCGGACGGAAGATCTTCCTCTCTGTATATCTGACTTTGTAATAAAAATAAATAAATTTTTTAAAATGCAATTTGGGGCAAGAAAGTGCAAAAGTTTGGTAGCAGTTCTGTAGAAAGTGCTGTGCAGGAGCAGTAGAATGGATCTGCAGTAAGGGGCCTGGTGGCCGCGGCCATGCAAAAAAGGGAGTGAAGGAGGCAGCTGGGCCTGGCTGGAGCTTCGAAGGAGCCAAGGCAGCGGGTTCAGGCGAAGGAAAGGCATCCTATTTAGAAATGTGTGGAACCACCGAGCCAAGGTCCCAGTGTTCGTTGACTGTCCAGGCACGTGGCAGTAAAGGCCACGCACACTCTGGAGGATCTGGTGGACCCTGTCACTGAGAGCCAGTCCCACATCTAAGTTCTAATCTGCTTACTGCTAAGACCCGCTGGGATCCTAGCACTATCTGTGTTGCCTGATGCCTGCCTTTAATCCCCAAACCTGCAAGTTGTTGGCTTCAGGTCCTTGGGGAGCCAAAGTGCTTTCATCAGGACAAGGAGATGATGGTGCTAATGCAGTGTACAATATCTAAAAGAGCTGCATACAGGATCTTTAAAGTGTCATGGAAGTGGGCCTGGTGCAAAAGCCTAGTGGCGAAAACCCTCTCCTTGCACATGCTGAGATCCCAGCTGTTCCATTTCCCACCCAGCTCCCTACCTGTGGCCTGGGAAAGCAGTGGAGGACGGCCCAAAGCCTTGGGACCCTGCACCCGCGTGGGAGACCTGGAAGAGGCTCCTGACTCCTAATGGGTTAAGCTCCAGCCATCGTGGCCACTTGGGGAGTGAACTAGCAGGCAGAACATCTTTCTGTCCTCTCTGTAAATCCGCCTTTCCAATAAAAGTTTTAAATGAAGTGCCATGGAAATGTCCCTATTTCAGCCTGACGTGCCTGGTGAACTACTTCTAGCTACACCCTCCACTGTTCTCCAGCTGCCCAGCCGCATCAGCCGCGCCTCGCTCCTTACCAGCGCCTTTGGGATTGGTTGGAGTTGATGACCCCAACCCGCCCATCCTCTCCAGTACTACCCTCCCACTCTGCTGCAGCCCTTGGCTACTCTCTTGCCACCTCAACCCCGAACCTCCTGTCCCCTCTAGGGACGCCCTCTACCCACCAGGTGAAACTGCCTCGAACTGACCGCACGCGCCCACCCTCCCTGCCACCTTGCGCGCAGTGCCCCTCCCTCCCGCAGCTCCTGCCTATTGGCAAGTGGTCTGCGGCTCAGGGAACGTCATTGGGTTTTGTCACGTCACTCACTTAACCCTAGCCAATCAGCGTCACCAGAGGCCCAGGGTCGGAAGCTGATTCGGGAATGGTAGCCAGTGGTGCAGCTCACCTGGGGAACTTCGCGAACTTCTGCGCCCTGCTCGCTGTTGCCAGGGAAACCTATCAGGTTCTGCATCGCAGACGCGGCTCCAAAGCCAGAGGTGACTGGCAGTAGAAAACTGAGGTACGGCCTGAGCAAAAGCACGCCGGCATTGGGTAAGGCAGGGGAGATGGAAGTACACCCCTGACTGCCTAAACCCCCAAAAGGGCTGGAAGGCAGGAAAGTCTGATTCAGAAGAGGGTTGGAAAGTGAGTGAAAGCTGTAGGCACAGCTCTCCCAACGTGGCACATGCACAACACATAACCCGAGTAGACGTGGCCTTCCTCTCCACCACAAATCAGGACAGGCTCTCTGCCTCTCCACGGGCTTACCTAGCCCTCCTGCGGTGATGCTTGGATGCGTGAAGGAACCGGAAGGATCCAGGATGTGACTGTGTGAGGCACTGAGGAAGATTAGCAGACCAAGAACCCAGCTGTGTACCTGACAGTATAGGCATTGCATGAGCTATTCCCTATCTCCCATTGACTGCATGTAACTCCCATAAGTACTGGCGCACAGTGAAAATGGGCCCATAGTGACAGGAGGCAGGTTCCAAGGGTATCAGGTGTAATGAATGACCCTTTGCCAGGCTCTTGCCTAGGTAAACTGATGACAGACATTTCCAGCGACAGAGCCCTGGTCCTCCAGCTGCTGGAGGTTAGGTCATTTGCACTGGCAGGGGAAATTCAAGAGGACTGCTGACCATGGCCACTGTCACAG